ATCAATAGATTAAAATCAAGAGTCAAAATTGTCAGGTAAATGGAGTGACTTTCTATCCTGTAGTATGGGTTTTCTAGAATCAGTTTCTTTGATTGCTTTAATCTGAAAATTATTTAATATCTAATTCAGAGTCACTAGGAAATATTTCTAAAGCTAGGAAGAAGGAAAATATTCCAAGTCTGAATAGGAATCCCTTCTTCTGATTAACATGTTTTCTATTTTAGCAGCTGAAAACTCCCTGCAACAGTTTTATCATTAGCCTAAGAACCGAGAAGTGGGCTAGAGATTGAATCCAGGTCTGTAAGATGAAGAGCAGTAGTCTTAAAGCATTTTTAAATATTAATACCTGTTTTGGCACTGTTTTACGATGTTTACTCTTTTCCTATTGTGTGATGAGGCCCATTTTACATGTATTACTTTGTACAAAACTGAAATTAATAGAGCTCTAGGGCTTTATTTCCTAAGGGGTTTACTATTTAAATTAATTAGTAGTTTATTTTATTTTTACAAACCTTTTAAGTCACTCATAGGTATACCATAGTGAGATGAGATTATGACATTGAGGAATGCACATTAAAGTACATATAAGATTTTTAAGTTGCTCAAGCTCTATATAAAAAATTGAATAGTTCATTTAAAAAATCAAATCTTTAAATGAAATCAAGTTTAAAATATTGAGAAAAGATATAGTGGTGTGATGGTAAATTTTAATGTTAGTTTTAAAATGGAAACTATGCTGATAAGTTATTTAGAAAACCATTATAAAACTAATAAGTGAGAAAAATTTAAATACAGCATAATTAACCTAACCCTGTATTTTAATTGGAAATGAGTTGGCACTTGGTTTAAATGTTCTGACCACAGGGATCGGCCGAGTGGCTCAGTTGGTTAAGAGTTGGCTTAAGAGCATGAGCTCTGAGCAACAGAGCCGCCGGTTCGATTCCCACATGCATCAGTGACGCTGCGCCTGAGCTGAGCTGTCACTGAGTTGCCAACAGGTGGCAGGATGGCTCAGCTGGTGTAACAACAAGATTGCCTGTTCGATGGTGGGCTATGCCCACCTGCAACTAAGACTGAACTTGGCAGCTTGAGCTGAGCTGCCACCTGGATGACTCAGTGGATAGAGCGTGCACTCTTTAACAAAGAGGCTGCCAGGTTTGACCTCCCACATGGGATGGTGGCTACGCCCATCCACAACTAAGATTGAAGAACAACAACTTGGCCAGTCCCCTTCCCCAATTCCTCAACACTGTTCTCTTCCCCCAACCCCCCCAATAAAATCTTTTTTTTTTTTTAAGTTAAAAAGTTCTGACCACAGGAATCAGTGCTTTTGTGTGATTGATAACAAAAATTAAGCACCTACCTTTCCAAATGACACTTATTTGAAATAACTAATAGCTATCCCTAACATCTATTGGTGACAAGATTAGAACATTCTTACTGTATTGATATTGTTGGTTGCTATCTTAAACATATTTGGGATATTCTCACATGAATAAGATCACAAGTTTGACTTTGATGGAACATTAGGAAAATCTGAAAATTTCTTGCACCCTTTGTGGTTTTAATTCAGAAGGGGAAAATACTGAAGAAACTATAGTTTTATAGCTGTTGTTTGTGAGTTTTTATGTGAGATGAAGATTAAAATAATGTCAACATGAAGATTTTTTTCCTGAGTATCTCTACAAGGATTTTATAGTTCTCTCACCTTAAAATCAGTTGTTTTAAAGAAGTAATTCACACAATTGAAAACATAGCTAAAGATCCCCGTGGTGGTAGAAGATGCTTTTAAAACGTGGAATTTTTAAATTTTGGATTTAGAAGCTTTAGATTTTTTTCCTATATCTTTGAAAGAACTAAAGTCTGCTTATGGTCATTTTAGTAATCCTGCTAAATAAATAACCCTCTGGAAGAAAGAATAATAGGACTAATAGGTAATCTTTATTTTACATAGAAGAAAATCTAGATACAGAGCAACCATTTGCTTCTGTTCTCCATGAACTTTCTGAGTATGTTAAGCTTTGTTTTCTGAGATATTTTTGTATTCCAGTTCTTTAATTGGAGATGAAAATAAATCCAGTAAAAAATATCAGATAGGTTCATGGAGTGAGAGGGGTTGAATGTTAACTGAAACTTATTTCTTAACCATACATAAACAGATATTTGTTCAGATGTTGAACATGAACATATTTAGTAGCATTTACAATTATTAGGTCATGAACTAGCTTTAAGCTCTTGGTTAATTATTTAGTAGAATTGTCTATAAAAATGAATTTTAAGCTGTTCATTAAGTAAGAATTTGAGTATTAGGTTATAGTAAACAGCATTTGTGAAGCCTAATTATGATGTTTGGCATTCTTTTTTAGTGTTTTCCTGATTTGGAGGTGGAGGTACTTTCTTTTTTGGAAGTGAAAGGTTTTACATTGATGCACATTTAAAATTTATTACACAAAGATTTTAAATGCGTAAATTAGATTTTGATGTCATACTTTACATTAATCTCAAAGGAACTGTTTTCAAACTTGATTAATCTTGAGTAAAATATATTATAAAATGGAAATTTTATAATTATGGAAATAAAACACAGTAAAAGAAGCTAATCTTTTTAAAAATCTTTAGTAATATAGTAAACATCTCAGAAATGTACTAACTTTAATAGGCAGTAGGTCTTACTACAATGAGCCTTTTAAAATGGTGTGTCTTGTGTTTACCATTGAAACAAGAAATTGTTTTCATAAATGCTCTTTAAACTGTTTTCAAGTCCAATTTCTTCTAATAAAAAAAATTTAAGAATTTCGTTATTTGTGTTTCAGTCAAAGGTCTGACTTTTAAAATTTAAGTTCCTTTTCAGTAATACCATCTCGTGTCCTTGTGTGGGGCTGCATATAAGTTAAAACTCTGAGTCAAAAATATTAAGGTTATTCTTAATGAAATTACAAGTTGTCGTGGAATATACATTGTTTGTCTTGACCTTTTTCTGAGTTTTTCTGACATCCATTTTCTGTTTTGTCTTTAAGGCTATCATCTTTTACCTTCTCTTAACCTTTCTTTTTGCAGAATCACTGTTTTCATTGTATATTACAGAGAAAAGTGAGATCTCTGCAATCCAACAATCATTTCCTTAAAATATGATCAATTAAAAAATTTTACACATGATCATTATAGTATTGTATAATTTCCCTGAAGGAAAAGAATAGTTCTTTCAAAAAACTTGCTTTTCAATAATACAAAGCTTTGGCTATGACACGAAGGGCAAAACCACAATTAATGATAACCTTGGTACTTTGAAATACTGATTTTGAAAAACCCTCTAAAAGTTTTGATCTTTTAAAATAAAGTATATATGAAAAATTTGAGGGTTCTACCAATTTTTTACACAGTATATCAACTGCCATTCTGTATGGCATTTATAAGACATATCAAAGAAACTTTCATCCAAAGAAGTCCACTTAACTCTCATCTTTATTTTATTAGTCTTATCTTAAAGCCCAAGTAGTTTACCTAGCATCCAAAACAGTTTCTTTGGTGTCTTCTCAAATTCATCTTTCTTGGTGTGCAAAAACATCTGTAATTCCAGTCACCTCTGATAGCATTTCTGTGTCTTTTTAACTTTGTTACATCTTTTTGTAAAATTTAGTCCTGCCTGTAACTTTTTTAATACTTCTTCTGCCACTATTTGTCTAGTGTTTCCTTGCTTTATTCTATCATTAGTGGGATTGGCCCCATAATAGACTTGTAACTGTTGAATAATGCCTGTTTTTTTACTGTAATAAAGTTTAATATATTGAACTTTCAGTGCTTAGATGTATGGGTGATCAGATGTATAAAATTTAACAAAGCCTCCAGGTAGAATTCTGTAGCAAACAACTTAAGACTTCTGTATGTAGTTGTGATTATAAAAAGCTGTTTCATCAAGGATATTTGTTATGTACATCATTTAACTAATATTTTGAGAATCATACATAAATGCTTTGCAAATTCTTCCATAACAATTTCTGAGGTAAAGTAACGATTTAAGAACAATGAAAATTCATCTGCAAACACATCTTGGGTGATTTTATTCAGAATTTAAAATTTCCAGGTGATTGTGGTTATTCTTGTGAAAAGTTTACAGAAATCTGTGCAAGCAAGATCTCATTTTCATTTTTACATGTTTGGAGTTCTAAAGGTTCTGAAGCCCTGAGCATTAAAGAGTGTTGGTGGATGCTAACTTGGGGAGTTTCACTTCTTTAAATCACCTATACTTCCTGTACCTGGGTTTTTTCTTGGGAAGTCTCTTATTTCTGTACTGACCATACTTAGTTCTCCTTACCTTGTAAGATTAGAAATGAAATAAGTACTGCCTGATACAGGATGGACAGTAAGAAGGCAGTTGGCTTAAATTTGTGCTGAAATCCTTAAACTGTAGGAAGTCACTTATTTTTCTTCACATCTGTCTTCACCTCAAATTGATTTTGCTGCATAAAGGTCTCAGTTACTGTGTTTGGTCTTAGATCTTATGCTAGGTACTTATCACCTAAACTTCATTTACTTGTGATTTTACTTGGTTCTTTCTGATAGCTACAATAGGTCTCATTTTCTAAAGCAGAATACAACTGATTCATCTTTGACTTGCTGACATTGATTTTTTTTGTTTTTTGTCTTCTGGAACTTAAGCATCATATTATAGGGTGTATTTTTATTCTTCTGAAAGAAGAGACCCATCTATATTTTTACTGAAATTTTGATGTACTCAGACATCTAACCCTTCAATTGAAATGTTTTTAAATTTAGTATGAAATTCCCTTTAATAGTTAAATGTTAGCATGAAAGACTACTTTTTAAATATATGCAGGCTCTGCATACATCTGGAATCTGTTTAAGATATATAATAAATTCCTTGTAAGTTTGAGATCTTAAATGTTTTTTTTTTAATCAACATGATGCATAAGTTTTTTTTCTTTAAAAAAACGGCATCTACGTAAAGGGATTTATGACTAAAATTGCTTATTTTTCTACAGAGTTGTCTGCTGGTTCTCAGCTTGAAGAAGATTCTGCAGTCCTTATTGATCCTTTTTCTTGGCGTTACCATTTTTTGAAGCAAAGTTAACCTAGTTTTCTAGTTTGAGCTTTCTTTTTGGCCATCTTAAAAAAAGATTTTTTTTTTTTTTTTAAATCTAAACTAGACAAGAGATAGTTCTACAATGTCCAAGTCATTCCAGCAGTCATCTCTCGGTAGGGACTCGCAGGGTCATGGGCGTGACCTGTCTGCAGCAGGAATAGGCCTTCTTGCTGCTGCTACCCAGTCTTTAAGTATGCCAGCATCTCTTGGAAGGATGAACCAGGGTACTGCACGCCTTGCTAGTTTAATGAATCTTGGAATGAGTTCTTCATTGAATCAACAAGGAGCTCATAGTGCACTGTCTTCTGCTAGTACTTCTTCCCATAATTTGCAGTCTATATTTAACATTGGAAGTAGAGGTCCACTCCCTTTGTCTTCTCAACACCGTGGAGATGCAGACCAGGCCAGTAACATTTTGGCCAGCTTTGGTCTGTCTGCTAGAGACTTAGATGAACTGAGTCGTTATCCAGAGGACAAGATTACTCCTGAGAATTTGCCCCAAATCCTTCTACAGCTTAAAAGGAGGAGAACTGAAGAAGGCCCTACATTGAGTTATGGTAGAGATGGCAGATCTGCTACACGGGAGCCACCATACAGAGTACCTAGGGATGATTGGGAAGAAAAAAGGCACTTTAGAAGAGATAGTTTTGATGATCGTGGTCCTAGTCTCAACCCAGTGCTTGATTATGACCATGGAAGTCGTTCTCAAGAATCTGGTTATTATGACAGAATGGATTATGAAGATGACAGATTAAGAGATGGAGAAAGGTGTAGGGATGATTCTTTTTTTGGTGAGACCTCGCATAACTATCATAAATTTGACAGTGAGTATGAGAGAATGGGACGTGGTCCTGGCCCCTTACAAGAGAGATCTCTCTTTGAGAAAAAGAGGGGCGCTCCTCCAAGTAGCAATATTGAAGACTTCCATGGACTCTTACCGAAGGGTTATCCCCATCTGTGCTCTATATGTGATTTGCCAGTTCATTCTAATAAGGTGAGTTAATGCAACAGATGCTTCTAATTTCTTTTACATTGTAGTGTCTATTCTGTATTTACCTATATCTTTTACTCTAATTCTGTAGTCTGATGACACTAAGTTGATCAACAATTTTTATACTTTTGAGAACACTTTATTTGGAAGGTAATTGTTTTTTGAGCATTTTAAACCAGGGCTTTACATTAATACAATCTGCCTAGATTACTTCTGGCCACAAAGCTGTCATCCACTGGGATTATCTTGTTGGTTTTTGGCATCAATATGTTCTTCTTAATCATATTTAAGCAGTTTTTTGTCTGCTTTGTTGAATTGTTTTAAGTATTTTTTTTTTTTGCAGTCAATGTGCCTCTGCCATTCAGGATGCTAGATTTCAGCTCTCCATCTGTCTTGATTGCTAATTTGTATGTAGTAAAGATGGATTCTTGAACAATTCTCTTTTTTTTCTTATCTGTGGCTACAGGGAAAGAGTTAATGTAGAGCCCTGGTGTTTGTTTATGTTTCATATTTTAGATTAGTTCATTCTTCCTTTTTTAATTTCCCTTTAATGCAAACTCTCATACTATGACTGGAATTTTCATCATTTTTTTTCTCCTTTTCCACAACTTTCTTAAACATACTTCAAAACTCACTTTTTATTATCCCATATTACATCTATCCCTTTAGAGACTTGGAAAAATCCACTATTGCAGTCTCCTGCTCTGTGTTTCCTCATAAGCATATTCTTTTTCTGACTTTAGGCTTAGACTTCTGGTATAGTCATTTGAGGAAAAAAAAAAGATATAGCGAATTCTCCTTTGCTTTAATTGTCACATCTGGCAAAATGGGAACTTTTTCAAAAAGCCCTTTTAAATACGTTGTCCTTTCTCTTTCAGTGTTTCAATTTTACTTTCTCTGATTTTTTTTTTCAATATACAGTGCAGTTGACTTAAAGTCAACATTATAGCACTTGACTAGCTTGATCTATAATCTGACCATCCATTTTTCCTGATGTGCTGTATAGTTAATTCTATTTAACTGGAACATGTTGCTACTATGAAATTGATCTGATGGTTACTGGTACAGGGTTTTTTATTTACAGTAACATCTGGAAAGGTCGTTTTCTTTTCATATCTATCCCTTTTAAATGCATTTTTTAGTGAGTTTTGAGTAAATCATACAGATCATTAGAGATTTTGTTTTTAATCTGTGTTTGCATCAGTATTTTTGTCTCACATAATAGAAAAGACTTCTTATATTTGAATTTGGAATACTTTGAAAAAGTCTTTAAAAAGTAATTCTTAGATAAATATGTATTTCTATAATACAAAAATCTTTTGCACTAATGTATAAATAGTTAAAGTACACAAACAAGGAATATTTTAATCTTTATACCAAGATAAATTAACATCAATACTAAATTTAAGTTCATAGATAAATTTTCACATAAGACACAACCCCAAAATCATAGAAATTAGGACATTTCGTTTGGTTGGTGTTTTTGGTGTTGTCTGTTTTTCAAATTTGTTGGATATACTAAGTATATCATGGAATTTAGTTTTTGTTCAGTACTAAACTTCAAGTTCTAGGTCTGATGGAGGTTGATTTAATGAAGGAGTTCCATTAAACTTTGATGACTGAATTTTTTCTTTTACTTCTTACCTATTTGCAATAATTGCAATCTCTAAATTCCAAGGAAAACCACTAGTTACATTGTCTCAAATGAAAGTGATTGTAAGGGACTTAAAATTTTTCGTTCTGAAGTCATCAAAAATCAAAACCTGTTGTTGGAAGTATGCTTATCCTGACTTTGAGCAGTAATTTAACCTTGTTGCTTGCACATAGAAAAAAGTTGAGTAAAGGAACACAAAAGGAAACCATGAGAGGACTTGAATCAGAGAAAAATTTCTATTTTGCATATATGATTATCTTTTCCTCCAAATTTTGTTACCTTCTAGTTCCTGTACAATGATATTAATAAATAATGATAGTAAATGGATCTAAATTAAAAGAACAATTTAAAAATATTTGATGAAACCTTGGATTTAATAGTAAGGATACCCTACCTAGTGCAAGAGGTACTTTTAACCTGTAAAAATGCTTAGGCCCTTATTCTGTCAAAATATTGGGAACATTTTAAGAAGTATTTTAGAGGCCCTTTGTTTGGTTTACAAAATTTATTGGACCAATTTAAGAAGTTGAAGTACCTGGATTTTCAGTGTAGTCTAGTTTCCTTTAAAAAGCTAATGTTTTCTGGGTATCTGCATTATTGAAAAAATAATTAAATATTCACGTTTAGTGGTGGTCCTTACTCGTTTTATAGCTTATGTAGAAACAATGACTTGAGAGAAAAATTCCTGTGTTGAAAGTAGATAGTGAACATTTTTTAAACATTTAATCCTGCTCTCTGGTATTGCTGCATAACTTGGAAAATCTGTTCTTTTTACTTAGTGGTAATGTTAAATAACCTACCTGATCAAAACTTCTTAATATGAAGTAAGAAGCTCTGAGTTGAAAAACATCATCTAATTTGTCATCGTTTTTGATATTTTAAGTGACTTCCAGTGATGGTGTTGCTTTTCTTTCTAGGTCATTTTAGAATGTGAAGTGGCTTTTCTGTACAACCTCAAATTCCTTTCACTTAAAAAAAACTGCCCTTTCGCTGTCTTGTCACTTGCATTCATATTTTTCCTTTTAGTATTATTCTAGAAGCCCTTAAGTTATTCTTTATTCTGCCATTCCAGAAGTGTTTCTCCAAATTATCCTTTCTTTATATAACTTAGGTATCTCAAAGACATCAAGGCGAATGTAGTTTTCCTACAGAATTTCTGAATTCAAAAAATGAATCCTTATTCTTTTAGAAATCTGATGTGAGAGTTACTTCAATGTAGAATCCAAGGATATAGGGTTTTTTAAAAGCCCTTTTGACTCTTAATCCTCACCTTAAACCAAACAAGAAAAGTGTGATAGTACAGATTAGTAATGAGTGTGCTTGGGAGATTTGTAAACGATTCTTTGATCTTGGCCTGCCTTCTAGTAGTTTGAAAGGATCAGCCACTTTTATCATAAGTTTGAACTTTTAAAGGGCATTGGGATTGGATATAAATAATTTCTGTTCAACTAGATACCCTTTCCATCTTCTATGAATTAGAAGCATGCATAATAGGGTAAAATTACTCCATTCCCAACACATTACCTGTCAAGAATATTTTATAAATAAAATCTGAGAATATTTTTAGTTCAGAAAATTCTAAGTTAATTGTTTAATCCCTCTTCTGAATTTTGCAGGCTTTACCTATGGTGCCTCTTGCTTGTAGCCATTTTAAAAGTAGCTTTCAACAAGTCGTGGTCTGTTGCTTTGCAAGTAAAACCTTTTTATATCCCAAATATCTGGTTGTAGAGCCAGTTAGAGAGATCTCTTTTGTCTTTTAGTTCCTTCGCTCTTAGCCATTATTTCCAAAAGACAACCTAGCTTTGAGAGATAGCTCTTCAAGTTCTGAGAAGTGACATTCTTTTTGAATGTGTTCCATCTTAGTTCTCTCACGGGGTTTTAGTTAATTCTATTATGGCATAGGTATGTATATAAACTTGTAATATAAATCCGTTTTTAAAAATTAGGATCCCATTTATAAAATATAATTCTAAAGCTTTTCAAAAAGGTATCTTGTAATTTGGTTCCTTGTTTTAGTTCAGCTCTGAGACCCTTTTTAAAAACATTTTCTGACCACGTTCTATATTCCAAATATAATTGTACTAGCTAGTGTGAGTATTAGAAAAGTTGCTTCATTTTGTGGGAATTTGTAAAACAATAACACGTGTAAAGCAGGAATTGTAAAATAAGCTTTATAAGCAGTGTAATAACCACCTTTTTTTGAGCACTTCCTATGTGCCCAGCAATATTTTGATAAGCAATCACCTTTATTAATTCATTTACTTTTCACAAAACCCTAGCAGAAAATTGAATCATAGTGAATTTACATACTTTGTACTAGGGATTCATGTCTCTAGCAAGTGGCACCTTGGGAATGGAACCCAAGCCATGGCAGCAGAACCTACTTTTCCTAATAACTCTTATATTACCTAAAACATTAATCATTTATATGTGGATTTTTAACTAAAGAAATGAAAATTTATTTACATAAAATAAGGAAAATTAATCCCTTCACATTTAAAAAAAAAAAACCACAAAGGAGCAAATATTGGCTGAATGTAATGTTTTCCTCCCCAAAAGTTGAAAACAGGCATTCATGAAATTTGCTTCTTTATTTTTGGGAAATGTGAGCTTAGTTTTTTGATAAATGAGGAGCATTTTCTAGAAAAACCATTCATGTTGAATCAACTTAGCTTCTAATGTCTGTAGTATACTTGGAACATACCTCAAAAGACTGGATGAAATTAAACATTCTATTTTTAACTAATTTTCACACTTATAGCATATATTTTCTAGAAAAGTAAGATATAAGCATGGATGTTTTGTCATATTTAGAGTACTATAAAAAACAATTCTAATACAACATGAATAATTTAGTTTGGTCTACAGCAGAAATTAATGTCTAGCTGATCTCAAGGTCAGTTACTATTCTTGATCTTTATTAACCCTATATCTTTTCCCTGTAAAGTCTATTAGTATGTTAACCAGGTTACCCAGTTTTTCCAAGAATGTGCATGGCGTATTTGAGGGCAGGATCAAGCTATAAGGATTCAGAGAAATCGATTTAAGTTAGTTCAGTGTGATTAGTGAAAGGGCAGATGTTTGTACAACCTATGATATTACATATAGATTAACATCCTAGAGTTTAAATGGTTCAGATGAATTTTTTTAACTTTATTTTTGTTAATTCTACTAATTTACTTTGCTGCAGGAGTGGAGTCAACATATCAATGGAGCAAGTCACAGTCGCCGATGCCAGCTTCTTCTTGAAATGTAGGAGTTTGAAATACCTTTAAAGCATCCTTATCATGAATCAGAAACAGCCATTGATTGGTTTTTGGGAGTTCATCATTTACTTGTAACATCTACATTGTTATTCCTGCATAGTTGATGCTGTCCAGGCAATACTAATTACAAACAAAATGTTTAGATCTGAAGTCTTAATAGAATATTAGATGCAGTGATAGTGGTACTTTGTTATTTGATATTATTTCTAGGGTAAATAAACATTAGCGCTTTATACAAATTGAGAGAGTTTTTAATAGACTTAAAGATAGCTTTTGATGCATAGAATATAGTCATAACATTCTCAGTAACAATACGTGCTTTAAAAATACTGAATATACAGAAAGGGTGGGGGAGTTGTTAGAAGTTACAAATTAGCTGTCAAGCAAAATCTTTCAGGATGTATTTTTTGCTTTTGAGATACCTTTGGTTCTGAGTTTAAGCTGCTAGAATGAAATTGAACTCCTGAAGAATCTCCCTACCTACGCAGCACACACAATACCCATTGTTCACTGGAATGGCAGTTTTCACATATGCCTAGTTCTGTTGAAGCTGTCCTTTCTTTCTAGTGCCACAATTCAACTATGCTCTTGGTACTTAACATTGGAGAAGGAAAACCTGTGATTACAAGTCCCTGTTTCCCTACATAGCCCATATTTCCAGTTCCTCGTACAGAATGTTTCCTGCTTATGACTTAAATACAGAAAAAAATTTAATTTCAGCATACATTGCCTACATTTTCAAGCAGTAGAGAACACGTTTGTTTTCATTCATGTGAATTTATTTGGAGTTCTGAAATTTTTCTTTGGAAATATATATATGACAATTTAAATTGTAATATTTTTAACACTTATACTCTCATACTTTACTAATAAATAATCTCTATTTTAGAGGCCAAACAAGGCTACTTTGTGAAAAGGACAGTTTTATTTTAAAGTTAATTTTCTGGTCTTTTTAAAGCTACCCAGAATGGAATCCTGACAATGACACAGGACACACAATGTAAGTTAAACTCTTTAAGCTATGGTTTGTAAAGGAGATCAATGTAAGGAATTCAGGTTAAACTTTAAACATTTCATAAAACCTTTTCTGAATTATTTTTTATTGACTGAGGGTTTGCTAAAAGTCACTGGGTGAAAGAATTTTTAGGCACTATTTTATGTAGTACTTTTTATTTTATTGCTATTATAGATTTTTCCCTAATTACTTCACACATAAATGCCCCTAAAGATTGCAATCATAGTCATACAAGAGGTGCTTTAACAATAAGGCTTAATTATTTCTGATGGATACTTTCATCATGCTTATTATATTTTATGCCTTCACTTTACTAGGGGTGATCCGTTCATGTTGCAGCAGTCTACAAACCCAGCACCAGGAATTCTGGGACCTCCACCTCCCTCATTTCATCTTGGGGGACCAGCAGTTGGACCAAGAGGAAATCTGGGTGATTATAAAATTCATTAATTTTCCCTAAGAGCTTTTACCGTAAAAATAAAAAGCAGTGATTATAGGCAAAAGAGGGCTCATTAAAATGTTACTTAAAAATATTCATGTTTGAAAGATGTTCATTTTTCAGTTGAAATAGTCTGTTATAGCAAAATAAATATAGTATATTTATTAGAAGACTGAAAAAGTATATTTTCCCCCATAAAGGTGCTGGAAATGGGAACCTGCAAGGACCAAGACACATGCAAAAAGGCAGAGTGGTCAGTAATACAGCTCTTGGTTTCATTGTATTTGTTGTTTTGGGAATGTGATTTGATTTAAATAAATCCTTGCTAATTGAATCTGTGTCATAGTTCTTACTATAGGAAGACTAGTATAGTTTGAAAGCCATCAGGATTTTCTGTGACTTCGATAAAAGTTAAAACTTTAATTTTCATATGCCCGTAGTCTAGAGATTGCATCTTGCTATCCAATAATGTGCACAGTGCTCAATTTAAAAATCAGCGCTGACTGTTTTCTGAAACTTTGAAATCTACCCTACCACACTGACATTTGATTTCCTCTGTAGTTTTTAAATTCTCTAGAATGTTAGGAGTTGTTATTTTAAATAACCTGTTCTGGTTAACATTCGACTCTAAAAGTTCTAATGCACAACCTATTTCATGTTGCTTTTAAAGAGACTGATTGACTTGATTTTTTTTCCTAATGTATAGGAAACTAGCCGAGTTGTTCACATCATGGATTTTCAGAGAGGGAAAAACTTGAGATATCAATTATTACAGCTGGTGGAACCATTTGGAGTCATTTCAAATCATCTGATTTTAAATAAAATTAATGAGGTATGAGTTTAAAGGTGTATCGTATTTATTAACTACTAATATGTTTCTTAAAGGGATTACATAGTTTTGCATTAGAAAAACAACTCAATGTAATCTTAAATCATCAGTTGGAATGAAGTAAAGGAAAAAAGCCAATAGTTGAAGTATGTTAATACAGAGGGTGCCAAAAAAATGTATACACATTTTAAGAATAGAAAAACCTGTATTAAAATGTAATGCTTTGGGTGGCCAGAGGGCTCAGTTGGTTGGACCATGTGCTCTTAACAGTAAGGTTGCTGGTTTGATTCCCACATGGAATGGTGGGCTGTGCCCCCCGCAACTCGTAGATTGAAAACGGCGACTGGACTTGGAGCTGAGCTGCACCCTCCACAACTAGAATGAAAACAACTACTCAACTTGACTGAGATGCGCCCTCCTCAACTATATAAATTGGAATAACTACTTGACTTGGAGCTAATGGGTCCTGGAAAGAAACACTGTTCCCCTTACCCAATAAAATCTTTTTTTAAAAAAAGTAATACTCAGTGTATATTGATAACAAAAGATAAATACAAGTCATGTGTATACATTTTTTTGGCACTCTGGTATATAGTAAGTTCTCCCTTAATGTCATCAATACCTTTTTTAGGTGAAATGACAAAATGAAACCAGTTTTACCACAGGCCAACTAATGTAAACAAGAGTTAAGATGGTTATAATGAAATGTTATCTGAGGACCTGCTGTAATACTAAATCCTAGTACTGATGGATAATTAGTAACTTTATAAGTTGTGGTTCCTAAGCAGTAAGTTGTAATCATTTCAAACTTTTACAGAATTGGTGCCAAATCATTATTGCAAATCTGGGCATAAATGATAGTTTTGGTAGCATGAAGATAATAAAATCTGAGATGACCTTTAATAAAATTGCTTAGCAAGTTAGCAATGATGGTTTTATTCTGTTTTTAGATTCTTAAAAGTGCTTTTTATTTAATGATTAAGTATGTCTGGGAAAGACTTTCAGCAATGTGTGTTTGAAATGTGTATGTGCTTTGGTGCAATTTCAGGCATTCATTGAAATGGCAACCACAGAAGATGCTCAAGCCGCAGTGGATTATTATACAACCACACCAGCATTAGTATTTGGCAAGCCAGTGAGAGTCCATTTATCCCAGAAGTATAAAAGAATAAAGGTAATATTTAGTTTTTCCAGATTTGTATCACCAATCATTTAATACATCCTTTTAATGTTAACCTTAGCTATTTAAAATTGCTGCTAATAACTAGGATAATATTAACTTGCCTTTATGGTTTTGTTTTGTATTTCTGTTTATTGGATTAAAGAAACCTGAAGGGAAGCCAGACCAGAAGTTTGATCAAAAGCAAGAGCTTGGACGTGTGATACATCTCAGCAATTTACCCCATTCTGGGTATTCTGACAGTGCTGTCCTTAAGCTTGCTGAGCCTTATGGAAAAATAAAGAATTATATACTGATGAGGTTGAAAAGTCAGGTAATATACATGTAGATGATAATTGGTGTTTTGTTTTTTTCTTCAACTGGGATTATACTGTTGCTTTCCATATTATACATGATTTTTTAAAATTCATTCTGCTTATTTACAGTATGTTGAGTAATATCTTCTAAGCTTATTACTTTTAATTTTTTGCAGAAAGCCTGCATATAGTGGTTTAATATTTGGTGCTACTTTGTAAATTCGACAAGTTGCCCTTATTTTATTGGGTGACTCTGTGTCTGTGTCTCTGTGCTAAAGATTAAATTTTCCTATCAAGTGGTTAGAAAAAATAATTACTAAAGTTCTATACGATTTTCAGAAAAATACTATCCTTTCTAATAATAATTATTTATTTTTTTTAAAGGCCTTTATTGAGATGGAAACCAGAGAAGATGCGATGGCAATGGTTGACCATTGTTTGAAAAAGGCCCTATGGTTTCAGGGGAGATGTGTGAAAGTTGACCTGTCTGAAAAATACAAAAAATTGGTACTGAGGGTATGTAGTACTTGGTTCATCATCATTATAAAGCTTGTTTCCACATATTTCAAGCCACAACATTCTTATAAACATTTTGATATGCTAAGAATATAGGTTTTAGTGTTGAAAGAGCAACCTTTTCTCTCTTTCTGGTCTTCCTCAGTAGCAGGAGATTTTTTTCTGATGATACATAAAAGCAACTTTATTGCTCTTGTCTATTGTATTTTAGATTTTATTTGAACAAAGTTCTGCTACCAAAATCTTGATTATCCTCTGTTCTATTTTTTTTGTTTTGTTTTGTTTTTTTGTTTTTTGTTTTTGTTTTTGTTTTTATTGGGGTATTGGGGGGAAGGGAACAGTGCTGGGGAATTGGGGGAAGGGGAGCAGACAAGTTGCTGTTGTTTTGTTCTTCAGTCTAGTTGTGGAGGACATTGCTTCACTGGCCTAAGTTGGCACCATCATTGCTCTCTTCCCGGGTGAGGCAGATCAGTCGCCGGCTTCTGGACGGCCGCTCACTGCAGCTGCTGGCCGCTCTCGCTGGCTGCTGGCTACACACGGTAGCCCATGGCAACCCGCTGCAGCCTACGCCGACTCACGGCAGCCCAGCTCCAGGTTGAGCTGTTGTTCAGCATCTTAGCTGTNGGGCAGTGTCACTGGCCCTCATATGTGGGATCCAAACCGGGGCCCTCTGGCGTCCCAAGCCAGTTCTTAACCATCGCGCCACTCGGCCGGCCCCTCTGTTCTATTGAAATGTTGATTATAATGAACTTCTGATTGTAGGTAGCTTAAATTCTTAAGTATGGTTACAGGGATTGCATAAACTTAGATAATTAAATAAAGGATGGTAATTATTAGTTAATTGGATAATTATATGTTCTGCAAATGAATATATTTTAATACATTTATTTAACTAATGCAAAATTTTGTCTTTTAGATACCCAACAGAGGCATTGACTTACTGAAAAAAGATAAATCCCGGTAATTCATTCTTTGTGTGTGTCATATAAAGACTAGTACATTAAATTTTGTTAAACTCAGAATTAATTTAAGTTGTATCTTTTTTATTCAGAAAAAGATCTTACTCTCCAGATGGCAAAGAATCTCCGAGTGATAAGAAATCCAAAACTGATGGTTCCCAGAAGACTGAAAGTACAAATGAAGGTAAAGAACAAGAAGAGAAGTCAGGTGAAGATGGTGAAAAAGATACAAAGGATGACCAGACAGAACAAGAACCTAGCATGCTTCTTGAATCTGAAGATGAACTACTTGTAGATGAAGAAGAAGCAGCAGCACTGCTAGAAAGTGGCAGTTCAGTGGGAGATGAGACAGATCTTGCTAATTTAGGTGATGTGACTTCTGATGGGAAAAAGGAACCTTCAGACAAAGCTGTGAAAAAAGATGCAAGTGCTTCAGCCACTGCAAAGAAAAAGCTTAAAAAGGTAAAGGAAGATTGTATATTAACCTATTTTAGTAGAAAACTAGATCAGATAAATGTTTCAACTTATTTACCCTAGTAGTATCAGATTAAAGAGAATTAGAAAAAATCAGATATAAACCACAGTATAAACATTTTAGTCTAAACTCTGCAATAAATAGATTAAATAGGACTTCCTATTATAGTTGCCAAAAAATGTCAGCTCACAAAGAACTTTTTAGTTATGAAAGAGAAAGACTTAAAAATACATATACTTCTATATTGTAATGGTAGTAAGTACTTGTAGGCAGCTGTATACTTTAGCTTGTTTTAAAAAGAAGGGGTATGAGTTTTCAATAAGTTAATTGACCAACGATACTTAAAACATTTTGCCATTCAGTCAGTTGTTGAACTTGAAGAATTTTTTTATTTGAGACACATAAGCTTGATCAGATACTTCATTAACTTTTAAAACATTTTCCTTGGAACATGTTGCAAATAAAAGAGCATACCAGGTAAATAAAGGCAAAAAAGCATATCAGGTGTGGATATGAATATAAAAATACATACATGGTATAAAGAATAATAAAACAAAAGACCCTTGTATCCTGACTACCTGGATTAAGGATTAGGGCATTTAAAATGCCTTTGGGAGACCCCTTATGTTAAATGGCTCTTGAAATGAGACTTTTGTAATTTTATTCTATTGGTTTCTTTTAAGTAACGTTCAACCATTAGAAAACTAATTTTTACCCCCAGGGTTTGATGGTTTGGTCAAATAACTTAGTCTTAGGTTATTTTTCTGTCTGAAGTGGATGATTGTGTAATATGTTTATACTCTTAAGAGCTTGTAATTGTTGTAAATTTTTCTAAGCTCTTTGTGTGTGCTAATTAACTTAATCCTTATAATAACCATAATAACCTTTGTTATCCCCATTTCATGAATGAGAAAATTAGGGCATGGAGAAGTTCAATAAATTGTCCATGGTTATATTGCTTATAAGTGGCAGAGCCAAAATTTAAAGCTAGGCAGTCGTGCTCCAGAGCTTGATTTAAAAAAAAAACAAAAAAACACTGTTTTAGATTGTGTATTCTCTAAACAAAGTTGTATCGTAAGATACTGTCTTCCAAAGGACATTATTCAATTACTTAAATCAGTTCTTTGATACATTCCCTAGAAGCAAAGAAGTGTCAGAAATTGGAGGATATGCGTGTCCTCATATTATTGATTTTCTGCTCTTTGTGTGAGGCAAGCCTTCAATTATTTAGTTTTAAAACAAGCTAAGTTTTTTAAAAATCAATGATTTTGGGGGGAAAAGGAGAAAAGTCAGTATTTTGAGAGAATGAGTCAAGACAAAGACGCTATCCCTTTCCGTTCAAGTAAAACAAATGGAAGGGATGCTGCAGGATAATTGTTGCAGAGTAAATTTGTCTTTCTTAACAGCGTCGTTTCCCAGGGAGTATGGAAGGTTTTGTCACTCTAGATGAGGTTGGTGATGAGGAAGATTCGGAACTTCAGAAACTTCGTAAATCGGGCATGGCATTTAAATCTGGTGACAAAAATGATGATGGTTTGGTTGAAATTAAGGTGGACAAGGTCGAGGAACTTGATCAAGAAAACGAAGCAGCGTTGGAAAATGGAATTAAAAATGAGGAAAATACAGAACCAGGTGCTGAATCTGCTGAGAATGCTGATGATCCTAACAAAGATACAAGTGAAAACGCAGATGGCCAAAGTGATGAAAACAAGGAGGACTATACAATCCCAGATGAGTACAGAATTGGACCATATCAGCCCAATGTTCCTGTTGGTGAGATTTAAGGCTTTGTTCTTCCCCTCTCAACCTCCCCAAACTCTTATTAAATAAGATTTTTAAATTGGTCTTACATAAGCTCTGATAGCATTTAAATTTATTTCTGTACAGAACAATTTGTAAATCTTAATTGATATATTCTCCCTTTTCTTAACCGAGTCTCCTGATTTTGTATTATCTTTTGTTACCATTATGCAATATGTTCTTTTTCTCCTCATAAAGGTTTCTGAGAATTTCACATCGCTTTTTGTTTTGTTTACCTGTTATATTTCTGCCTTTTTAAGAGTATAAATAGGTGGGACCTTACACATCAATTAAATACAACTCAGTTAATTTAACTAATGTCATTTTTTTGGTTTAATTTTGTTTTAGCTTAGGCCTTATTGGATTGAGAACACTAATTAAAATATTCAGTTTACTGAATTTGTAAGAATGTATGTTTGTGTTCTAGGTATAGACTATGTGATACCTAAAACAGGGTTTTACTGTAAGCTGTGTTCACTCTTTTATACAAATGAAGAAGTTGCAAAGAATACTCATTGCAGCAGCCTTCCTCATTATCAGAAATTAAAGGTAAGGCTAAATCTTACAAGAGATCTTTAGTGAAAACTAACAAATCATGTAAGCTTATAGAAAATAGAATGTGTATATCTTTGGATCCAGAGATAACATTTTTTTCTTTATTGATGGGCCTTAAGTAGTTTAATCAATTCTAGAAACATCAATTCAGCCTCTTTCTATAGTACACTAATTAAATGATAATTTAGTAATATCTTTGTTATAAATTCTGTGATAAAATTAAAGTCATTTAAGTATTCTCAAATGGGTGTTAGACTGTAATTTCTGTAATTTGGAAAACACTAGAGACCTGAAGACAAGTGGCATAATATAAAGCCTTTTCTTAACTTTATAAAATGGCATGTCTTGTCATTTTTACGTTGATTTTAAATTATTATTTAGTAATAATTACACTCTTCAGTAAGTCTTATGACCCAACAGCATATAAAAATAAAGGGATAAATGAATAAAGGGAACATAATAAATAACAAATCCCTGTTTGGTATTAGTGGTTTCTTTAAGGACTAAGCATTGAAACAAGTAATGGGGGGAATCTTGAAAGTAGGAGTTAAAGAACTCATAATTGTAGATAACTTGGTTTTTCACAAGTATTCATTCATCAAAATGTTCTGTGTGTTGACTAGATGGATAAAGATAGCATTGAATTTAGGAAATCCAGTTCTTGGGTGAATCACTAGTTTTAAATACAAGTGTTCTTTGCTGCCTATACATATCTTACCATCATGGATATGAAAAAAGAATGGTGGTTATTTTCAACAGTAGGAGCAATCTAATAGATTTTATCTGATTTGACATTAAGCTGTTTGGGGGCAGAAACTATATGTGTTACCTAGATATATACAAATATTAAAGTGTTCTCTGCATGCTTGATACTTTATAAAAAATGTCATGCTTTTGATGTTTTACATTAGTTTTTGTTTTGTTTTTTCTTTTTTGTACTTTCATTAATGTCTTAACAGATCTCTTGTGTCCAGGAACTCTAGAAGTTACAGATCTAATACAAGGGTTAGCAAGCTACACTTGCAACCCAGTCACAATCATTCATTTAAGTACTGTCTATGGCTGCTTTTATTGTATTAACGGCAGAAATGGGGTAGTTAAAATAAAGACCGAATGGCCCACAAACCTAAAATATTTACTACTGGCCCTTTAAGAAAAATTTGCCCACTTGTTTTAGTGGAAGGGGCATTGAATAAATGCATGTCATTTGAACTTATCTATGTTCTTGGAGTTTTGGAGTAGCAGTAGTTCTTCTATGTCACTGTGGTCTTGTTTTCTCATCTCTATAGGTTAGTGTTAATTGCACATTGAAATAACCATTTTTCACATTATACCATTTTTTTCCCCCATGCCTTATTGTGCTGTCCTAAACCAGTTGTGTTTTGTACACTAATAGGAATAACTGAATCTTTAAAATAGTGATAAGGTTATATAGTTTAATTACACTCAAACCCCCAAATTTGGATAGAATATTTCATTTTGGAATTAACCCATTTATGTACCTCTTAAGTGACTTAATCCCTGTAATTCTTTTTATCTTTTCAGAAGTTTCTGAATAAACTGGCAGAAGAACACAGGCAGAAGAAGGAAGCTTAAGATGTGCAAGAAGCTTAATGATTTCAAAGAAAATAGTGGTTCTTTGTTTTTAATGTTAACCTTTTTTAAATACAATATTGGTAGTTAGAAGAAACTATTGTACTCTTTTGTTTTAGTGGAAAAATAATAGATGTCTGTTCATGTGTTAAGTGTTATAGCAAAAATACATACACGGTTAAGTTAATGAAAACTTGTTTTTTGTTATATCAGAATGGTAACAGACAGAAGTACTTTGTAGAGACTGACTTCGTAAGCTACTTAAGACAACTTGCACCACTAAGAAAAAGATGCATAGAACTATTCAAAGAAATGAAATTTAGTAGTTCTAAGCTTCAAAGAAATGTCAAAACTTTTAATTCCATTCAATAAAGAACAAAAGCAGTTGTATTTTTATTACTTTCATCTGAAACATTCCACATTTTAATCTGAGCCTTGCAGACTTTTCATTTGGAGTTTGAAGCTTTTTTGGTTGCATTTCATTTTTGGAGAACTTCATTAATGTGAGATTAGCGATTAAAATGCGGGTGCAGTTTTCTTTTAATGTTATGCTGTTGTTTAGGTAATAAGAAACATTAAGTAATTGGCTTTAGATTTTGTAATTTTTTCCCTAAGTTTCTGCTAGATTTCGTATTCTAGTAGTCAATGTATTTTCAGTGAAATGTAAAAATATTCCCGTTCTCCTTGACCAGTATTAATTTCTTGAGACCTTATTGCTTGTCACTTGAATCCTGTAGCTGTCATACATCTGGTATAAGCAACATTTGATTTTTGAAGTGTGTAGACCATCTCTTCATATTTTCAAGATGTAATTTTACATTTCTGCATTTTTAAAAACAGTTTGGCCATAATCTAGACGCACGCTTCTAATTCATATACCTGCACATGTGACCTTTGTGAACAGAAATTTGCATGTATAATCTGTGTTTACTTGTAACTTTCTGATTATATACTGCTTATATCTGTGGATTCAAGTTTCTGAAGTGAATACCAATAAAAAAGAACTTAGGCCATGTTCATTGGTTATACATGTTTGGAATGTTAACCAATATATTTGTCAATTGTGGTTTTTATTCACTTTTACACTTTTTTGCATGCTTTAACAAATTTTTTCATTTTTAATCTAGAGTGTTCTAAAGACTGCTAAAGATTTGAGTTTTAAAGTTTTGGGTGCTGGTGGATTTTTTTGTTCCTGTTACATAACAAAATGGCTATGCATGGTTTTTTCAGATCTTGGGAGTTTTAAAATGCTCAGGGCCAAGAAATAGCAAGCGCTAATGTTTAGGCATATATATCTACGTAGTTGACAGTAGAATTGGAAATAACACGGAACATCGAGAATTCCAGAAGCCTTTTCAAAATATGTTGGGATTCTTGTTATAACAGATTATGTTATCAAAAATTTTTAATTTAAAAAATAAGAACTTCTAGGAATTCTTTTTGAAACTTAGGTCCAAGTGTATTAAAGGATATATATCAAATAGTTGGATAAAATTTCATGGTCTACTTCTGAAGGCCAGGTAGTATTTTTTAATGTAACATGAACAAAAAATCCTTGCCAATTTAGTTCTGCAGTTTAATTTTGGCCTTTACTAATTACCCGCTGTTGTTTAATTCCAACTTGTAACTAACAGCAGCAACAATGCATTATGTGTACAGTGGAATTCCTAATTGTTTCCTGTCAGTGATAGCTTTTTTCCATAAGTCCTACTTTGTTGGATGTACCAAGTTGTAGAAAAGAATGTTTAACAGCTTAATTTGGTAACATTTAAAAAGCAGAAAATCTCAAACTAGTGATAAATAAACCTGTAACAGCTCTTTTCCAGATTATGGCAAACCTTTATTTAATAACATTTCTATTTAAAACCTGCTATAAAGTTTAAGAACATTTTTCCCACCTCCATTTTAGCTTTTAAGCTTAGTTAATCCTATGTGAGGGAAACTTAGAAACAACTTGAGTTTCTTTTGCAATTTTTTTTAAACCATTGCTGATAAATTTAGGATCAGAGGATGACCCTGGATGAATTTGCTAGCTGTAGTATTGACTATTCAAAATATAATTTCATTTAAATTGTACTAATGTGGTAGGTAAATTACTAGCCATAGAGTATACTGCTGTCTCCTCTAAAGATTTTAAGTGGTATGATTCTAAGGAACTTTATAAGATAATTCTGTGAATTCCTTCTAAGAGGGAGAGCTCTCACCCCCCTTCTTTAGAGCAATGGGGACAAAAGGAAAATATACATTAAGTATTATGGCAGGTATTAAAAGTTTTGGGGGTTTTTTGTTTTGTTTTAAGATTTTGGGGAATTGGGGGAGGGGAACCGGTAAGTTGCTGTCCTTTTGTTCTTCAGTCTAGTTGTGGAGGATGGCCCATGTTGGTATTACCATTATGCTCTTCCCAGGTGAGGCAGCTTGGTTGCTGGCCACTGATTGGCCGCTCACAGTGGCTGCCGGCTGCTCACGGTGGCTTTACAGCAGCCCACTGCAGCCTATGCCCTCGCCGGCGACTCACCAGCTCAGCTGTAGAGGGCGCAGCGTCACTGGCCCTTGTGGGATCTGAACCTAAACCCTGCTGCTCAGAGCTAGCGTCCCAAGCCAGGTGTTAATCAATGCACCACTCAGCCGGCCCAAGAGTGCATATTTTTTGCCTGGCTTTGTTAACAAATTTTTGGTATCTTTTTAACAGTAAAATGCAACATTACCATGAGTGCAAAATAGTAACAAGGCTCATGGTGTGTAGGAGAAACCTGCAGGAACACTGCATTTTAAAAATTCAGAATAGGGCCGGCCGAATGACTCAGTTGGTTAAGAGCTCGCTCAAGAATTTGAGTTCTGAGCAACAGCAGTTCGATGCCCAGCCCTAGCTGAGCAGCTGCTGAGCTGCCAACAGGTGGCAGGATGGCTCAACTTAAAAAAAAAAATTAGTAACAAAACTGGTAGAGTCTCGAGGCTATTCAAGACAATTTGCACCAGTGTTTGGAGCAGCTCCCTGTACTCTTCTCTTGGTCTCCATAGAATGTGGCTTATAGCTGAAAGTTCAAATGTTGAAAGGTAATGAGTTTGAGATTTTAGTCTCTGGCAAGGATCCTTAACTGTTGAGGTGAGGCTCAAGTGCCCCTTCACTTTGATGCAAACAAGTCCTATGAATGTAGGGTCGGGCCGAGATACTTTTAGACTTAGTGGCTCTCAAATGTTAGCATGCCTCAAAATTACCTGAAGACTTAATTGAAACATTGCTGGGCCCTGCTCCTAGAATTTCTGATGTGCTAGGTTTCAGGTGGGCCTGTCTGCATTTTTAACAAATTACAGTTGTGATGTCAAGGCTAGAGACTACACTTTTGAGAAAGATTTACCTATAGCTGAAGTGTTTTTGCTAGGCAATTGTAATCAAATGCCCAGTTTAGGAACTATTGGCTTTGAAGTACTGGTTCCAAAGCTAAAACTAAGGGTAACACTGGAAAATAATCACCATTTGGGGGCCTGTGCAAATCAATTTTTTTTTAATCAATGAGATCACATTTCAGAATCCTGTATACTCTTCCCAAGTCTATCCTTTATTTTTTGCTCAGAACATTTAAAAGTATTGAAATTTTCTGGGAACCTACTACAATTAGACATTTCAAGGAAGGTTAGTGGGACAGAAACATGGAATCTTGAGAATTCACTGTTTTGCCTGGCCAGAGGTTTTTTATTTTCAGTTCCTTTTCTACTGTGTACCACTGTTAATCACAACATATAGGAACTAATAAAAAGGTTTGTTAATGGCTAGTTTGCTGAAGTTTCAAGTGAACAGCAAAATGGAAATAGCTACCTCATTACTCAAGTACATCTAACTTGCTGATTAATAAACTTTACAGTTGATAATAGTCAAAGCTCAAAGTGCTACTTACTAGGTAAATGAAGATATTAAAAGGTTAAGTTGAAAATTTCTGGGTGAAAAGGTAGTATATGATTAATTTTTTAAAGGCACTATATTAAAGGATTTCTGTTAATTTTTAGCCCTGGACTTTCCTTGAACTTAGAGCTCTGGCCTTAAAATGTTTGTAAAATTTTCACCTAAGAGCTCTGTAAATCTCAGATGTACAATAGGAAATAGGAAAATTAAGTGAAAAGGAAAAGGGATAATAGATTGGGTATACTAGACAAAAGTCAATAAACCTGTCCACCCCGATACCAGCGTGTCTAATTTTTTTATGGGCTTGTGTGCCATTTTGTTTTCTCATAGAAACTGCAGTCCATGGAAAATATGCTGTGTGCATTATAATTTCGTGTCCTGAGAGCCTGTGGAAAGAGGTTGCAGATTAAATGATTGGTGAAATTGATACTTCCTGATTTTTTTTTTAATTATTAGGGGAGGGGAACAGACAAGTTGTCCTTTTGTTCTTCAGTCTAGTTGTGGAGGACATCACTTCACTGGCCCATATTGGTATTATCATTGCACTCTTCCCGGGTGAGGCAGTTGTGCGCCTGCTGCCGGCTGCTCATGCTGGCTGACAGCCACTCATGGTAGCCCACTGCAGCCTACACCGTCGCCTGCGACTCACGGCAGCCCAGCTCCAGGTTGAGCTGCTCACCATCTTAGCTGTAGAGAGCACAACGTCACTGGCCTTCATGTGGGACCCGAACCGGGGTCCTGTTCAGAGCTGACGTCCCAAGCCAACTCAACCAATGCACCGCTCAGCCAGCCCTCCTGACTTTTTTAAATGTACAGTTTAGTGGTAATGCGATCACGTGCAACCGTCACCCATCCCCATAACTTCATCTTGTATTACAAACTAGACCCATTAAACAGTAACTACCCTAGATACTTTTTTTTTCCAGCCCCTCACAACCATCATTACAATTTGTCTTTGATTTTTGACTACCTCATATAAGTGGAATCTGCAGTATTTGCCTTTTATAACTTGCTTATTTCACTAATGTACTCGCTTCACCTGTGATGTAGGAGTGTACATACTCTGCCCAGCTTCTAATATAATAAAAGTGATCATAGGGACAAGGCCATTACCAAACCATAAAAAGGAGATTCATTTAGGGTGTGATTTTTTTTCCCCCTCTCCATAAATGGAATTCAAGTTTTCATAGACTATAAATATAAAGTATACGGAAGACAGTTTTACCTTCAAAATTTGACCACCTAGAGAGATACTTGCATTTATACCTACACGTGCCTATGTGTACATACTCGTAATGTTAGAACATATGTGCTGTTTTGCAACCTGCTTTTTAAAAAAATGTGGGTTCCACATCAATGAATATAAATTTAATAACTATAATTCATTTAGACGATTCCCTATTGATGAGCTTTTGATTGTTTGAATATCCTTACGTCTTTACATATGTCCAATGTCTGAGCTGACTATACATTCACTGTTTGAGTCAGAACTACACATTCTACATTATAAAAACATCTGCAGGAAGGTGGTAGTTAAGAGTGGGAAACTGTTCACAGCCATCCTGTGTCTTCACTATAATCCTCTTCTGATTCCTACAACTTCCATCTCAAGTTAGGGTTATTACTACCTGAACCAAATATGAATCCCTGCAGTATCTAAACTGTGGGCCTCTGATACTCCCATTGCAGTGTCCTCATACACAAACATTTTAGCCTTCGCACTTCTTAAGGTGTTAACAGTGTTTTCCACTTATAGACCATCACCACTATCCAGGTATATATCATGAACCCCATTTTGCAAGTGAGCAGAGGGTCTTTGGGAGGATATCCAGAGGATACTAAGGAAGTACTCTGGGCCCATCAAGCCTCCTCGTCCATAATGGTGAACTCACTGTGAGCTGGGATCTGAGATAACCCCTTTGTGTGAGGAGGAAAACAAATCCTTCAAATGGTTCAGATTAAGATTCATCAAAGGCTTTCAATATTACCAATATAACCAAGTGGTCTGTGTTACTAAGTAACAAGTTCAATTAATCATGATTAGTTTCTAAGAGTGTCCGGGTTATCTACACATTATCTAAATTCCGTTTTGATTTTGTTCTCCCTCCTTTTCATTGCATCTTCCAGCCTAACGGTGATAGCTTATCTTCCAGGTTCCTTGGACGAATTATACTTCACAGACCTGTAAAACAGCACCATCTCCTTCCTCCCAGAGCTACAGCAGGCAACAAAGTCAGATCCTCCCAGTTTAGGGTACAGATCCAAATGGGGCTAAAGTAGTTGACTCAGGGGTTATGGCAGAACAAACTATGTTCATTTCTTTGAGGCTTTGGACTTTCAATGAATGAAATGGCCCTAATGAGGATTAGTCCTCATAGATTCAAGCTTTCCCATGGAGAGGACCTTTTTTTTTTTTTTAACTTTTAGTAGATAGCAAATTTGTTCCTTTTTAAAAATTTTTTATTGGTGAACGGCCATGGTCATTGGTTATACATTGCTTTCATGCTACAATGGCATAGTTCTGACTTAAGGAGGGTGCAGCTCACAGTGGCCCATGCGGAGATTGAACCGGCAACCTTGGTGTTATCAGCACCAAGCTCTAATCAACCGAGCTAACTGGTCACCCCCAAATTTGGTTTTATAAAATTCAAATTTTAAAAAAGTAAAGTGGTAAAAGTCCCTAATTTTCCTTAGAGGAAAGACATAAGTTTTTGTGTGTCCCCTTTCAAATATAATGTACACACATTCAAACATCCAATTTTTAAAATTTATTTATTTTTAAAGATTTTATTGGGGACGGGGAACAGCATTGGGGAATTGAGAGAGGGAAACAGCCCAGTTGTCCTTCAATCTTAGCTGCGGGTGGGCATAGCCCACCATCCCATGCGGGAGTCCAACCAGCAATTTTGTTAGGAGGACATGCTGTC